GTTCTCTCCCCTTGATCACTCACGGGTTGTTCAAATTGCACGATGAAAGGGTTTGACAAGCTCAATGCAGCAACCGCTGCAACTGCATAAGCCAACACTGTGTTTGACCGTTTATAATCTTTGACCTTTTGCATCGTCTGAATAACTGTGAGGAGCATGCGGGAGTGACGTGGACTCATTGGGAACCGTGCCATGGCCTTACCAATAGGTGTCAGCCACCCGTTGACATCAAGTGCTTGTAGAAATTTTAAGCACCGTTCTGCTTCAGTCAAGGCAGTTGCTTCAGGAGGAGTTGGGAAAGGGAATTTAGTAACCTAAAATTATAGTGAGATGAATTGCCATTAGTGTTGGAAAAATATGTAAGAACAACAGACACAGTAAAATCCAACAAAAGGTAGGGTCTGTAGAGGGTGTATGTACGTATACCTTACCCCTACTAGGTATTAGAGATGCTGCTTCCAAGACACCCCGGCTCAAGTACAAAAAGTAACGACAAGGAAACCAGTGGCACGAACGAAAAAACAGAATGGAAAAATGCGTGAAAATGTTGCATTTGATACTCGTGCAATTTTTTTAATCCGTGTGTCAAATTAAAAATAATGCGGAGTAGTTTAAACTAAATTTCTGAGAATACTTTCCAGAAATGTCCTCAGAATTCGGAGAGTGAGAAATAACACTTCCACTTCCCTCCCCTTTTCTCCAACAAAATACACAAAACTCCAATTTTCTCTCATTATCCTCCAACCAAACAAAAGAAGCAATCATGGTCTCGTGGAACTAAGTAATCCATGTGAAAGGACTAAACAAAGAACACCAAAAATTACAGGGATGGATAACAAATTTATAGAGGAACCTAAAAATACTCCGTTCTACAATAACAAGCACTGCATTTGCAAGAACAAATACAAATCAAGCCTAAAAAAATAATTTGACCATTCTCCCCACAAAGTTAGGCTACTAAAAAATGATTACTTATTTTCATTATTCCCCCCTTTTGTGAATGACTTAAAAGAATAATGCCGCTTTTACCTCATGACATTGAAAAAATTATTGCTGGGTACCCTAGATTTTGTGATAAGAACTGCCAGGTCCCATTATTTTTTAAAATGTACTCCGGGGTATCTTAAAATAACAAAAAACTTACTCCGAGGTGACATTCCGTCGCTTTCTCCGTTAAACTCCATTCTCCGTTAACTTCTTCTCCATTTTCGATTTCTTCTTCTTCTTCTTCTTCTTCTTCTTCTTCTTCTTCTTCTTTTTCTTCCTTTTCTTCTTCTTCTTCTTCTCCTCCTCCTCCTCCACCTTTTCCAGTCCTCCCTCCTCCGCCTACGGATCTTCTTCTTCTTCCCATCCTCCCATTTTTTCTTCCTTTCTTCTTTTTGAACTCTTTTTTCTTCTTACCTATTATTATTATTATTCTTAAAATTAATTAGTATTTTTACCACTCTAATTTTTAAGAAAAATAGTGGAGTAGCACTTATTACTATAACTTCATATTTATTACTCCGTATTATTTTGTTCTTATTCTATAATTATTATTAATTACTCCGTATTATTTTTGTTCATAATTGTTAATAATATTATTAAAAATAATTATTAGTTTTACTACTCTTTTTAAGAAAAATAACATTGATTGTTATTTAGAAAAATATAACTTATTATAAAAAACGCTTATAATTATTAATTGTATTATTTATTAAAAGAAATTTTTTAGTAATTTTGCTACTGTATTTTTTTATAAAAATAATAGTACTTATTATTATTACTTTGTATTAATTATTATTTACTTCTTATTATTTTACTTTTCTACTATTGTTTTAATATATAATTGTTATTAAAAATTAATGAGTAGTTTTATCACTCTTTTTTTAATAAAAATAACACTTATTATTATTTATAAAAACAACACTAATTATTTAAAATAAAACTTAATATTATCGATGTTGTTTTTCGCATTAGTCACGCAGTAGTCATCGATAGCTGCCATTATGAAATGTGACGTATAATTTATATCCAAGTGAATAAATAATCTTAATTTTATAAACTATACATAAATATATCATACTAAAATTATTTTTTTATTTAAAGCTTAAAAATACTTTAACCTACTTTTACGGAAGTGAAAAATTAGAAATTGAAAAAGGTCAATGGGGGCATACAAAGTAAAAAAATAGAAGAAAAAAATTATAAGAAGTAAATAGTAATTATTACTGTTATTTTTCTTAAAAAAGAATAGGAAAACGAATAATTTATTTTTAATAATAATAGAAATAATTATTAATAAAAATAATACAGAGTAATTAATAATAATAATAATAAATATAATAGAATAAGAAGAAAATAATAATAAATATGAAGTAAAAAGAATAAAAATGGTAAAACTTCTAATTAATTTTTTTATAATAATAATAATAATAATAATAGGTAAGAAGAAAAAAGAGTTCAAAAAGAAAAAAAGAAGAAAAAATGGGAGGATGGGAAGAAGAAGAAGAAGATCCGTAGGCGGAGGAGGGAGGACTGGAAAAGGTGGAGGAGGAGGAGAAGAAGAAGAAGAAAATGGAGAAGAAGAAGAAGTTAACGGAGAATGGAGTTTAACGGAGAAAGTGACGGAATGTCACCTCGGAGTAAGTTTGTTGTTATTTTAAGGTACCCTGGAGTACATTTTAAAAAATAATGGGACCTGGCAGTTCTTATCACAAAATCTAGGGTACCCAGCAGTAATTTTTTCCATGACATTGATCAAACTAAATGTGAGTCGCGTGACATTATATTCTCCATTGAAACAATTTTCAAGGAAAAAAACTTGCAAGTGCGCAACTTGAAGTGTGGGTTATTTTTGCAAATAGTCTGAAACCAACATACATATATACTCCCTCCGTTCTCAAAAACACTTCCTCTTTCATTTTTTCCACTTCCAACAAAACACTTCCCCTTTCTATTAAAAAACCACTTTTACCCTTACTTTTTCCTACCCTACCTATCACATCATACTTTTTCTCTAATAATCTATCCATCATATCTTACTTTTACCCATCACATCAGGGGCAAAATTGGAAATCAACTATAATTTAACACTTCCTTATTTTTGCCCCCAAATCAAATGGGAAGGGTTTTTCCAAACGGAGGAAGTATTATATATAATCAAAACAATATTCAGGGTGAAAACAAAAATGCAATAGTAAACTTGCCTTGTCAATGTGCATGGACTTCATGAGGAGCACAACGCCATCAACGGGCACTTTCAATATTTCAGCATCAGAGAATGGAGCGAAAATGTCATTGAAGACAGCTGAAGAATAAAGGCGATAGCAATGACCGGGTCCAGTCCTTCCTGCCCTACCAGCTCTTTGGGAAGCCGAGGCCTTACTTATCCACTGCACTTCAAACATTTCCATCCCATTTGACAAGTTGTACTTTTTCACCTTTTCTCTACCTGTGTCAACCACATACTTTATGCCAGGAATTGTCAAAGATGTCTCAGCTACATTGGTAGCAACAACGACAAGCCGCTCACCTTCCTTAACCTCTTCAAACACACGAAGTTGAGCAGATGCAGGAAGCATTGCATATAGTGGTAAAACACACATGGGCCCCACACATGGAGGAACGCTCCGTGTATTTGTTTCACTCGCAGTGTTTGATACTAAGGCTTTCTTTGCAGACAAAGCATCAAAAGCAGCCTTTAGTGAATCAAGGATTCCATCAGACTCCAACGGATTTTGATTTAGCTGATCGTCGAAATCAGAAGAATATTCCAGATCACTATCATCCTCTGAATCAAAGGAACAGTCTGATTCATCTGCGCAGGCATCCGGATAATCCTCATTATAGGAATTAAACCGTTCAGTTATTTCAAGATTTGAGCTTTTATTTACCTCAAATGCCTCGCTTATCTCCTCCATATCATTTTCTTCACCAGGTCTCAGTATAGGCAGTGACTCATTCTCTAGATTGCCATTTTTCTTAACTATATCCTTAGAAGCTTGGCGTAGCTTACGGCACAAGAACTCCACCTCTCTCTGTCCAGTTACAAAGACAAGTATGCCCCCGGCAGGAAGTCTCTTGTGGATAGACAACACTTTCTTATAAGCTTGACCAACATAATCTACAATTTCAGTTCTCTTGGAGAAGTGTGTAGTGACTGGATACTGACGAGTCGGGACTTCTATTACAGGTGGGGGATCATGAAAAACTCTTCCACTGGCAACAAAATCCTCAACACGAAGTGTGGCACTCATCAGCACAAGTTTCAACGGATATATTTTCTCTTCACTACTTATAATATGTCCTGATAGTACCCTCTTCTGCTGTTCCTCGAATTCATGCTGCCATATAACAGGAAGTGGGAGGTGGGGGATCTGTGTGAGAATTGATAGAAGAAAAATGATAATAAAAAATAAAATGGAGTTACCTGGCGCAATCTTATCACACGAGAAAGCATCCCAACAAGTATATCTGTGTTTAAGCTCCTCTCATGAGCTTCATCCAAGATTATGACTGAGTAACGCCTTAATAGAAAATCATTCTGCAAAGAAACATGTTAATAGAGATGGTAGAAAGAACACACACACACATACACACAAAAGGATTGGGTTATATGTGTAGCCTTTGTTTAGCCTGGGAAGAACTAAGGAGGAGAGCAATATAGAGATAGTTTGGAGTGAGGTAGGAGAGAAATAGGTTGAAAAAGAACAGAGGTGGGACCCAACAATTCGAACATTTACATATTTTCAGAATTTTTCATCACTGTTTCTCTTCTCAAGAAACAACAAAATTCTCTACTTTTATCTGATTTATTTCTCTGCTGTTTCACCATAACAAAACAAAAACACAAAGGAATTAAAGAGAGGAGTGATTCTTTCCCTCCTGAATAACAAGCATAGCTAATAGACCTGTATTGGCTGTACTATTGACTGACCTGCACTTCTCGAAGTAAAATTCCATCCGTCATGAACTTGATTGAGCAATTATTCCCAACCTTCCTGTCGTGCCTAACTTGAAAGCCAACTTCTTTTCCTAGATGGAAACCAAGCTCAAATGCCACACGTTTGGCAGTTGCAAGTACAGCAACTCGGCGGGGCTGGGTTACACCAATAATTCCACCTCTTCCAGCATGCAATCCAAATCCAGCTTCGTAAAGAAACTGAAAAGGGAAAATAATCACGATTATTATTACCAAAAGGAAAGGTAAATAAGAGAGGAGCATATAATATACTTCATGGAAAAGAGAGCTAGAGCATTGATCACCTGTGGAACTTGGGTAGTCTTGCCACAACCAGTCTCACCGCATATAATTACACAAGTATTCTCATTTATGGCTTCCATTATCTCCTGCTCCATCATGACTATTGGAAGGTCTTTCCTTTTTTCTTCAACCTCCTTTGGTCTAGTAACATGCACAACAGTCGGGGCAAGTAAAGACCTTTGGGGTGGACAGGCGGTGAGGTCAGCATTTTGTTTTATATCAATTCCAGGCTGACCAATTCATTCATTTAAGCAAGACTCAGCTGATAGCAAACAACTAAACTTGTAATAGAACATGTTTATGAAAAAAATAGCATCACCTAACATCTTTTCCCTAAATGGATAATTATTTGAGAAAGAATGAAGTACATATAAATATAATGTACTCTTTACCCGCAAATTAAATTGACACTGACACTTCTTATCAAGAATAAAATGTGAGGCTCTTAACAACTCTCTCTCTCTCTCTCTCTCTCTCTCTCTCTCTCTTCCAAACAAATTTCAACTACACTCTTTTTTGACTTTTCAACACATTTTCTTAAACATAGCGAAGTCAAACCACAAATTCAGTTCGGGGACAGAGGGAGATAAAGATGTACCTTTATTCTTTTCGTTTCATCATCACTATAACTTGGGGTGGGCATTGGATTTTGCAAATCTTCAGCCCTTAAAAGATCAGTCTTTTCATTTGCCACATCTCGAACTGGTGTGGCAGAATCTCCATCAAAAGCACGAGGTTTGCAAGTTTCTAGACCAGATGCCTCAGATAGGGTATCTATTTTGGTTACTGGTGGCTGCAACATATAGTCATTAACGACTGGAATATGTAATTTAGTTTCATCAAATTCTTGTTCAATATCACACGATATGCTACTAGCAGACTTCTTATTCTTCTTCAATGGAGGATCACCACCTGGCACTACTAAACCTGCTTTAGAATATTGAACTTCTCTTCTCCTCTTATCCCGGGTAGTCTCAACCTAGCAAAACAGAAAAGAGGAGGACAACAAATCAAGCTACAATTAACATTATAGTTTAGGTATCTGATAGGAGCAGGACGGTATTATGAAAAATGAAAGATAGAAACTGAAGAATGAATTCTCTCCTAACCCTCTCACAATAATAATCTCACTGAGAAGAGGTAATAGAAGCCAAGGAGTATCTCCAATGCTATGAAATATATTGATTCACTGATATCCTTCCAGGAGGATGGACTAGCATATTTATAATGCTGGAGTACAAAGAAATAACCGAATATCCCTACTTTTTAGGCACTAACAGAAAGATAAGACTAACTGACCATGACAGCAAGAGTGGACCTATTATTGTGCTAACAGATGCCCATTATTGTGCTAAGAGAATGGAAACACATTTTAAAATAATCAGACTTAGTCAAAACTCAAGCCTTAGTATTGTGCTAATAAAAGAATTAAACTTATGGGCTGTTTGGCAACTTCTGAATGGGTAAGTGCTGAACCAGTAAGATGTCTGAACCATTAAGTGCTGAACCAGTACGAGGTCTAAACCATTAAGAGCTAGTATATTGCTTAACTATTCAGAGGCAAATGTGTGATCAATTCAGATAAGAGGTCTTAACCATTCAGACTCTGTATAATACTTAACCATTCAGAGGCAAATGTCTGAACCATTCAGACATCTGCTCACGAAACAAACAGTCTGAACCATTAAGTGTTGAACCATTCAGACATCTGAACCATTAAGAGGCTGAAACAAACAGCCCCTTAGTCAAACTTAAGCCCTCTTTTTACGCCTCTGATAAGTCTTGATTGGTTTGGGATTTGTATCATATCATAAAGGTAATTCAAGGTAACAATTACCAACCTGACCCAAGTTCCTAGAAGAGCTCAAAAGTGAATAAGAATCATCTTCAATTTTGTACTTCCTGCAATGTAAATCAAACAAAGCACGTGTTTTCCTGGTTACATGAAGCCATACCTAGGAATACGATTACAAGAAAGAACGAAAGAAAAAAAGTTCTTACGCCAAGGTCTCCAAGCTTTTAGACAAAAGGGCAGCTTTTTCCTTGTCTTCCTGTATATGAAACATGTAACTGATTAATTGACGTCGCAATAAAATTTGACGAAAAGTAATAATAATAATAATTATTATTATTATTATACTCCGTAGTAAAATACTGAGTAAACAAATCACAAGATTTCAAAATCTGTGCTTTACTCCAAACAAAACAAAAAAGATGAAATAAGAACCTTGAGCCTAGCCAGTTTCTTCTTTTGGGATTTCAATAACTTGGAGTTGGAATTGGTCTTTGCCTTGCGATTTTTCCTCATCTGACAAAATCATTGAACCAAACAAGATGCATCTTATCAAATGTGATATTTTAAAGATTCTTCTTTGGTATGTTGAGGACATGAAAGTTGAACTTACTGATAGCTTGACAGAGGAAAGACGATAAGAGAAGAATCAAAGGGATCACAATTTGTCGGCTTCCAGCCTCCAATTTTGGCCTTGGCTGCGGTTCAGGAAGCAGTGCTGCTGGAGTTTACCAAGCCGGTGGACTGTTGGAAGAGACAAAAATGTAATTTTGCAAGAGGATGGATTAATGTTACAATTCATTCACCATTAATGCAATAGTTGAACAGAAAAGACATACCCTAAGAGCACTTCTTCTGCAAATTTAATTTAATTTCCTCCTCATCAATACAATGAACAAATGGGAAGGAGACCAAAGAAGGATTTCAACAACATTAGGTTTTTCAAATACAGAGCATCTCCGAGGGAGAAGGTAAAACCGGACCTGAACCGGAATCATATATTTGTAAGGAACGAAGACCAGACGGGTTAGTGGCCAGTCCGCACCGGTCCAGACCGGAATCTTCCGGTCTGGTCTGTGTTTACCCTATGAGCCTGATTTTTTTATACCCTGTTTTTTTTATATCAATCTCAATTGGACATCTAAATACACACTGGCTGCTTCAATTTTGAACTGGACATCTAAAATGAAGAAATACAATTACGCTCCGGGCTACTAAGGCGTCGCCTAGTCTTGTTTTAGCGGCGACTAGCCGGAGAAATGATTGAGATGGGATTGGAATCTCTCCAGAGACTCATATCTCCCGTTCTGATGTGTTGATTAAGGGATATTTTTTGGAATCTTTTATTAAAATTCAATCTTAGGGGGGCATTGAACTTAAAGGATATATTTTTTCGGATTTAACTCCGATTTTGAAAAGTGTGAATATTGAAGTGCCAATACCCTAATTGTTCGAGTTCAAGGCCGGCGGCTAAGACGAACAGTGCAAAATGCAAGCAATGAATGCTTTTGATCCGAGATGAAGTTCACAGTCACATAGGCATCCAACACAATCTCTATGTCGGCAGTTAATCATCACGAGTAGAGGTCGACACCTCAATCTATTGTTATTTTAATGTCACAGTGATTTAACCCGGAGTTTTTATTTATATGAATTTTTTCCTTAATTTCTTGAATATTAGGTGAATGAAGAAGTTCTAAGGAACAATTTTAGGAGATTTGACTTCTTACAAGGGTCCAAAAAGCACTTGACAAAAAATACGATTTCATTCATTTTGAATATGGATTTGATGCTCAAAATGCCATACATGGAATGAGTGGTAAAAATTTGAGATGTATAATTTATAAAAAAAAATGTTTGAAATTTTTGGATGCTTATAGAATGGTGGAATGTAGTGTTATCTTGCAGGGATACTTTTGTTTGAGGAAAATTGAACCTACCAACAAGTGCCAATTCGCGAAAAATATAGAATTGTTTTTAATGTAAGTCAAATCTAATGTTATGCATGCTTTTATCCTATTTATGAATGTTCTAACAAAAGAAACAATTACTTTTCTATAGTATGCCAGAGGCTATTGGTATCTGAAAGTGGTTGAAAACTCGAACTTTAGAAAATTTGATGACATAATACTTGCAAGTGAATGGCCAGTGCATGGTCTCTAGCTTGTGTCACACATTGTTGGTTATGTATATGTTCCTTTACAAGTGATATGTCAAGAGCCAAGTGTTTTAAAGGCATGGAAATCACTTGGCAGTGAGTCACATAATCAACACCGAAACTCGTAGTGGGAAAAACATGGATGTAAGCAAGATCTACCTCCGGATGAACATTTTACAAAAAGAATGGAACATTCAGGGTAAAAAACATCTACCTCCGGATGAAATGTTCTTTTTGGCACACGACTTTTCTAAAATTCAGGGTAAAAAACATGTATTTAGAGCACTTGACGATCCATGTTTTTCCTACTGCAAGTTCCGGTGCTGATTATGTGACCCGCTGCCAAGTGATTTTCATGCCTTAAGAACATTTGGCTCTTGAAATTCCACTTGTAAAAGAACATGTACATAACCAGCACTGTGTGACACAAGCCAGAGACCATACACTAACCATTCACTTGCCAGTATTGTGTCATCGATTTTTCTAAAGTTGGGGTTTTAAGCCACTTTCAAATGCCAATAGCTTCACGCATACTATAGAAAAGTAATTGTTTCTTTTGTTAGAACATTCATAAATAGGATAAAAGCATACATAATATTTGATTTGACTTACACTAAAAACAATTTTATATTTTTGGCAAATATGCATTTGTTGGTAGGTTGATTTTTCGTCCATACAAAAGCACCCCTACAAGATAACATTACATTCCACCATCCTATAAGCATCTAAAAATTTTAAACATTTCTTATAAATTATACCAGACACATCTCAAAGTTTACCATTCGTTCCATGTATGGTATTTTGAGCATCAACTCCACATTCAAAATGAATGAAACCTTAATTTTTGTCAAGTGCTTTTTGGACCCTTGTAAGAAGTCCAAATCTCCTAAAATTATTCCTCAGAACTTCTTCATTCACCTAATATGCAAGAAAAAAAGGATAAAAATCATATAAAAAATCGGAGTAAAAATCACTGTTACATTAAAAATAAAAATAGATTGTGGTGTCGATCTCTACCCGTGCTGATAAATTGCTCACATAGAGAGAGAGTTGTTGGATGCCCATGTGACAATGACCTTCGTCTCGGATCAAAAACATTCATTGTTTGTGTTTTGCACTGATCGTTTTAGCCGGCGGCCTTAGACTCGGACAATTATGGTATTGGCACCTCAATTTTCACACTTTTCAAAACCGGAGTTAAATCCAAAAAATATCCTTGAAGTTCAATGTTCCCCTAAGATTGAATTTTAATGAAAGCGAAACTTTCTTGAACCTATTAATTCTAAAAAGTAAATAAATCATAGTTTTAACAAATATATCATAGTTTAATCAAATGACATTTTTGATTAACATACCCATTTAAAAAATTGATATTGATTTTTTTATTCAAATAAAAATCCTTATTCATCAAATGAATGTGAATTTTTGTACTAATTTTCAAATATCATTAACGATCTCCACGCCCTTGGGAAAAAAAATTGAACAAAAATCTTGTTCAAAAAATCCTTCAGAGCTTAACACCGGAATGGCGTTCAAACAGGACCGGTCCTGAGAATTCATGGGCCTGGGCCGAAAATAGAAAACAATTCCTAAAAATCTTATCCTTATGGTCTAACAAATTAACACATGTAAACAAATTATATTTAAATAAGAATTAACGCAATATTATTAGAAGAAAAAATAAATCAATACTGGTACTCCGTATATCATAAATTCATATCAATTCGCCAATTTTTCTAAATTTTTTTTCAGCTTTAATTTTTTATATATAATAAATTCATATCAATTTGTCAGTTTTTCTGTTTTTATTTTTATTAGTTTTCTGTTTTTTATATATAAAATTATAAATATATCATAAATTCAAATCAATTCATTACAATCAGATAAAGAACATATAGAACCATTAATTCATTCTATTTCCTAGCAATTAGCAAAGATTACAAATTAAAAATTAATAATTAACCCTAGATTTTGAATCTAAAGAATGAAAAAATGAAAGAAAAAAAATACAAAATCGGAAAGATATATATACGGAATACCTGGAGGCTGGTGGCTCGGCGTCTGGACTATGGCGGCGGCGGCGTCTCTCTACCTGGCAGTTTTCAGATTCAGCGTCTGGAATTAGTCGACCTCGCCCTCGCCACATGCGTTATTATTTCATCTTTGTGTAGGATGGGAAATAAAGAGACGGGCCTTGACATATTTTTGCTATTGGATTTCTTATATACATATATTATTAAAGAAAAATTGGGCCCCTAAAATTCATGGGTCCGGACGGACTATTTGTCCCCGTATTGGGCCGGCTCTGCGTTCAAAGGCCGATGCCATATATGAGTTGATTGGTAACACCAATGTCACATGAAGGAAATGAAAAGGTAAGCACTTCTAACTCTTTCTCATTTGAATAATTGCAAGAAGCCTTTCAAGAATTATTCGATGAATTGCAGAAACTTTAAAAATTGTCAAAGAGGCTAAGTTTAATATTCATGCTTTGGAAGAAAGAAATAATTTTTTGGAAAATGATAATTTTGACCTCAAAATTAAAATCAAAGCAATGAATGAAGCTTCTTCATTTGACTATAGTTCTAATCCTTCTTCTTGTGAGCCTTTAAAATTAGGGAACATAGAACTTAAGGACACTATAGAAAACTTAAGGTAGAAGAACCAACGAAAATAATCAAAGAGGTTAAGATAAACAGACACCCTAAAAGAATTAGTAATCCTAGGAATAATCAATTTAATTTTAGGAATAATGAGAATAATATTAGAAAACAAATAAATGAATACCAGAATTTTAAAAATCATAGGAATAAATTTAGACAAGCTAGAAAGTTTTTGGTTCAACTTAAGCACATGCATAACCCGAATATGACTTGTCATTATTGCAATCGGGTAGAACACATAGCTCTCGTTTATTTCGCAAAACATAGAGACTTTTCTTGCAATTATAACTACGATTTTTATTTGTCTGACCCCCAAGGACCCAAAAGTGTTTGGTAACTAAAAATTATTTTTAGATGCATATGTAGGTGTATTTGAAGATTACATATTTATAGTGGATGCTCCAAGCATTATACCTAATGAATTGCATCAAGGGATGTTTGGGGGAAGTGTTTTTGCTATAAAAATGGTATCAGTTTCAGGAGGAACATACAACAGCGATGTTTTGTATTAAACATCAATTTCATTGAGTACACTTCTTAAACTTTATTTAGTGTTTTTTGCTATTTCCAAAAGGGAGAAGCGTTTGGGTAGATGCAAAAGGTGAGGGGGATCACGTTTTCAAACACATGTGGGGAATTACTCTATTGACTTGCATATCACCGCCTTGGTTTGTTATTATAAAAAAGGGATGAATTGTGGGATAACGTTTTCACATTGACGTTTTGTTAATGACAATGTTTGTTTCTGTATAGGTTTTGATATTGACAAACTGTCGGAAACATGAAACAAAATAAAAAGATTCAAAGGCATAGAAAGTTCTTTGGAGAACAAAAAGCACAAGAAATGCATTGACGTTTCTAAAGATGACGACATTAACGTTTTGAAGAAGTTGTCTAAAGACTTGGGTTTTTTTGTAACAAGCCCATTTAATTGTTTTAAGTCTTGGCTCAAAACAAAATAACTTTTCATACATCAAACTAGTCTTTTCAAAAATGGTTTTAAGTTTCCAAAACCCCTGGTCCTTGCCCAACCAAAACCAAAACCATCGGTTATCGGCGTTCGACTATGGCGTTCAGTTTTTGACGTTGGTTATTGGCATTGAATTTAGCCAAATTATTTTTAAGTTTTCATCTTTTATTTTTGCTTTTGGACACATTTAAAGGTTTTCCAAATGATTAGTTTTCAAAAATTATAATATTTGATTTTCGGCATTGGTTATCAACTTGATGTTGGTTTTTGGCGTTAGAATAAACTAAGTGGTTTTTGCATTTTATGACTGGTTTTTACTTTTGGGAATATTTAAATGGTTTTCCAAGAAAAACATTCTAAAAACCACATTTCGTTTTTAGACTTTTGTCAAAAACCATAAAAACCGACTTTAACTTGACTAACCGTGATTTTCACTTAAATGTTGTGATTTTTAAGATTTTGCCCTTGGTTTCTTACTAAAATTCATTAAATAAGTGTTTTCAATACTTGGTTTTGGAAAAACTTTGTATTTAACATTGGTTTTTAATTTTGGCTGCCAAATCATGGTTCTAGCGTCCAGACCCAACATGGATGTTGGACTTTGAACATCGATGTTTGAACAACGATGTTGGACTTTGAACATCTATGTTTTGGGCAGGTTAGCTCACATCAATTTTTGGCAATAGGTTTTGGGACAGCGATGTTTACTAATGAACATTGATTCTTTCAAATGACCGTTGGGGTATTTAAGACAATCTTTCCATTTTTGAAAGTCAACAACTTCAACATCGATGTTTTCATGCCCGTTAGCCATTTTTAAGGGAAAGTCAAAGCCAAAACAACGGTGTTCACAATATAAACATCGATGTTAGGCCTTTTTTTTGTAGACCACTTTTGATTTGATTTCCACAAATCATGTCAATCAACCTCAATCTTTTCCCAACTCTTGCACCTTGTTTTGGGTATAAAAAGGAGTCTCTTGGGTCTACTTTTCACAACCATTCCGCACCCAATCATAAAAACAAGACATTTATTCATGGGAACATCTCCCCCCCCACCCCAAAAAAAAAAAATTGCCACTTCAAGAGCAGTCCTTAAACCAGATTAATGATGGAAGAAAAGAATCTGAGTGGATAAAAAATGGATCAATGATTCTCTCTGAGAAAACGAGATTAATCGACGGGCCCGATCATCTTTTCAGGAACTACAAGTTGATCAAACTCTTCCGAGCTGAGTACTCCTAAACTAAGAGCAGCTTCCTGCAGTTCCAATAAAAAAGAAAGCGTTGAGCAAGCACAAAAAGTGAAACTACTATCCTGCATAAAAACAAGTTCTCTGGGAAAATATACTCCTGGGAAACAAGGATATTTTATTCATCTAACTATGCTTTTAACACATGAAAAGACATTATATTATTCTGGAAACAAAGGTCACCTTTAGACTAGTTCCTTCCTTGTGTGCTTTTTTGGCAACTGCAGCAGCATGGTCGTACCCAATTTTCTGAATTTTAACAACATATCAAAAAAGACTATTGAGTTTGTGGGATGAAGAAAACCAGGCTGACAACGGTGACAGAGCACCTCATATGCATAAAAAATGAGGATCTGGTTGTAAAAAAAAGGGGGTGGGGGGGACTTACCGGGTTCAAACATGTGACAAGCATGAGTGACTGCACAAATGAAGCAAGAGATACAAAGATTAATCAATAAAGCTTGTCATTAAAATACAACAAAAAAAATGTAAAATGCAAGAGACAAAAGGGCCGAATTTTGGGTTTAAACAGTTCACAAAACTAAAAATCACCTCGTGTAGTAGTTTAGAAATCCTCTCCCTATTGGCCTGAATCCCCCTCACACAGTTCTTTTCAAAAGAAGCAGATGCATCTCCAAGCAATCTCACAGACTGATCATTGATGATTACAACAGAACATCATTAAGGTGTTGATGAGAAACCAATGGACCAAATGCATTTATTCCAATACAGTAACAGGAAAAGGCGACAATGGTGCATCAGGTTCTATAGCAGGCTAGCACCACAACTTTTACTAATACATTCAAATCGTAAAATAATACTCAATCTGTAGTAGAACAATACATGTTGGCACGCATTTGTGGCTTGACTACTAATAGCTTCCTCTAGATTAGCAGTTAGTTCTGCTGTTTATAAGCAAAGAGGGTAGAATAAGATATAAACCTTTTTTCTTTATCTGTCTACCATAAGTTTATTATTACAACCAGACTATAAGCAAGATGATGATGACAATAATGATACTCGTTAGTGGCCACATCCCAAGAGTGTAGATTGAGATGTGAAAGTTCTTCCCTATTTTTTAGTGTATTTAGAAACCTTTTCCCAAAAAAAACTTGGCCAACTTCAACTTTTAGTCCATCTAGAAAAACTTGGCTATGGTTCATATTGTTTTTCTATCTTCTAAATAAATCTCAACCACACAGATTTTATTTTCTTAATCTCCATTCAAAGTCAAACATAGCAAAGTAATACTCCCTCTGTCCATAAAAAGTATTTCAGGTTTGCTTTTCACGAAGTTTAAGAAAAACTAGTTTATGTAGAGGAGTGTGAACCACTCATTTCTTTTCCTAAAAAGAATGAGAACTTTTTTGGGACAGCAGAAAAAGGAAAACATGAAGTTCTTTTAGAGACGGAGGGAGTATGTCCCACAAAGCACATAGTCAAGTTCAACACACCACATAAATAGCAATGACAAGAGAATTTGATAGATTGATATACCTGTAGGAGAGAATTGGCGATCATAGGCTTGAATACATTCAGCTCAAAATGGCCATTAGATCCACCCACTGAGAGGCCTACATGATTTCCAATAACCTGCGAGAAAAAAGGTTGAAGAAAATCACAGAGATATTTAAGAAACAAAAATAAAATAATTAAAAATGTTTGCCCGGATGACATGCATGATGCATATTACATACTGCCTCCGTCCCGAAATAAGAGTCCACAATTGACTAGGCATTGGTTATTGATGAAGGTCAAAATATGAGGTCAAGTTTTGTGCAAAGGAGAGAAATTGTGTGAACCCCACAATTCTTTCATCAAAAGAAAAGAACATTTTTCTGGGGCAAACAAAACAGGAAACTTGGAATCTTTTTATGAGACAGAGGGAGTATTCATTAACAGGTCTACAACCTTAACTATAAAGCCATGATACTTGAATTCATAGCCAATCTAAACCAGTAGATAAAGCAATTAGTTACCTGAGCACAAACCATTGTGAGAGCCTCACACTGTGTAGGATTCACCTTCCCCTGCTCATGTAAGAATAAGATAAGGATTCAGATACTGGGAAAGGAATAAAAACTCAACGTATGCAATTTCATTTCTTGTAATTAAGTACAACTATTACAGGCATGATACTGCTTCCGGGTTCATTCTCGGGAAGAATGAGTTCACCTAGACCACAGCGGGGACCACTGCAAAATGAGTAGGATGTGAAATCATCATAATAGCAAATAAATTGCAACCTCAAAAAAAGATTTATACCTTCCTAGAAAACGTATATCATTTGCAATCTTCATGAGGGAAGCAGCAAT